TAACATGTGATTTGTACCCTATGATGCTGGCTTCCTTGAGCTTACCTCGGTGGGGAAAAATGGGCCCAATATTGAGTAGCAAATCATAGAGCCAAAGTTCACAGATGCCACTGATATTAAAGTGAGAATCTCTTTTCTTGTGAACCTGTGAGGAGGATCTGTTGATTCAGCTGTGGTGTTGTTATCTGTGTTGTTATCTGAAGAGAAAACTGGAAGGGAAACACGAATAATGCGATTAGGCCATGCTGAGTTGAAAGAACATAAAGTTTGCGGTTAAACTTTTGGCAGAGATAAGGAAAAAAGTCAAGAGGTCAGTTATGTTGAGCTGAGTATCTGCCAACACTTCTCAGTTGATTTTACACAGTAATTTAATTTCCACAGGGTACAAAGGTCACAAACCTCTCGTCGGAGGATCAGCATGTTGATCCATTTTCAATATTCAGGGGTCTGTATCCAGTGGCTGAGAAATACAGACGGTGATAGAACAACTGAAAGAGCAGAGGATAAATCCTGACAACTAAATACTTCTGACAGCCTCCTCCGCTAGGTGAAAACAATCATGAGCATGGACCACCGGCAACACTTCCAGACTAACCCTCTTCTTCTTCTAAGTAATAACTAAGTTAGTCCCATCCCATTACTGCCCTCCGCAGTCTGGCAGATTAAAGTAAACCAGATATATGTAGAAACATGTAGTCTTTCTATGTTGACTTTAGCATGAGCAAATAATTCAATAATCTGTTAAATGATTCCCATTTTGAATTATTATGCAAGTTACTTAAGTGTTGTTATATTTATTTTACAGACAGGATTAAATGCCTCACTCCCACCTCCATCTCTCCTGTCACCACACTCCAGACTGAAGCTCACTGGTGCTCTGGCAGAGCAGCTTATCCCACTTCTCTGAGCACTCAGTCCCGTAAGTGGCTTTTTTCAGTTAATCACACAGTTATTTGAATTTAACCAGTGAATGGCTTCAATGGAGCTGTGTAATTGAATGCAAAAAGTTATGAAGATTTTAATTGCGCCACGTACAACATGGGCCAAGTCCTTTCAGCACTGGGCAGCATGTATGCTATGAACAGAAACACAAATGGACTCCTGGCAATTGTAATAAAATATTAATGCAGTTTCAATTCTTGATGTTTTTTCTTATACTTTTAGGTCGGTTCAGTCCTGTCGGTTATCTTCTAAAAGGTGCTTAGTTTTTTAGGCTACAGACGGTAAGATTTTGTAATGTTTCCAATTAATTTTAATGTTGCTAAGATACGCAAGGATTGCAGTGGTGTCTGCCCTCTAAAATTGCTGCTACAAGAATTAAATAATGTCCTTTTTTCCTTGTCAGACTCTTCTTGACTCTTCAGGGATCCACGTGGAAACAGATTCTGCACCTGTTCAGCAAGTAGTAAGTATCCAGTGTAATTTAAAGCTCAGCCGCAGCCTTATTTCACACTTATTCAACTGTCCTACCTCTCTGTTCCATTCCTAGGTTGTTTCTCTTTACGTCTCTGATGAATTGACCATTCACCGTGGTGCTGCTGTGATATTATTATTATTGTGATATATTTTTAGTGCTGAAAAGTTAAAAAGCTGAATTGGGAAAAACAAAATTACAAAATTATTGTAATTATGTAAAGTTGATAAGCATATTTTTTGTAATTTAATTAAAACTTATCCATGTAAGAAAACTTATGTCATATTGTAATTCTACTTGATTACTCTGTAAGAGAGCTAGAATTTATATATATATTTATTTATCTACAACAAAAACAAAAACAATTAATTTATAATTTTATTTCCATTTTTTATTCATAATCAGTCTTTGCAGTCCCTTAAATTGTCAGTGAGTGAAAAAATCTCAATATCAGTGTTAAATAAATCTATAATGCAGGCAGAAAAGAAGGTAAAACATTCAACATTTCTAACTGCAGTGAAATCTGCAATAAATTCCCTGTTTGAAGAATTAGTACAGTATGAAAGGTTCATTATGAGCTGTATAATTTATCTTTCCAAAGATATCGTTATATCACACGGTTTTCTTCACATTTCTATGAATGAGGTAATCAGATGTTGATATTGGTCAATTAAACAAGAAATTCAAGTTGTGATGTAAAAATCCTATGAATATCTCTACAAAAGGCACAATTGTGGTCGGCAATAGTTGTGATTATCAAGTAAATTGCACTGTTTTAGTATAGTAAATAGATTCATACTTACACACCCATATGAAACACTTATATTCAGATGCACCACCTTAAATCAGTACACTTGCACTGCTTTACAACTAAACCACTGTTTATAAAACTCACTCTTACTAACCAAGTGGCTGGTGTCATTGTGTGTAAGTCATCGTGGCAATGTTGAAGAAACTACTATCAGGCAGTTTTAAATACTTTGGCAGGAGTCTGTGTCTGTGGATTCTACCTGCACAGGACTCTAACTTAGATCACGATCAAGCTGGGTTCGTGTAGTGAACTTCTGGTTTCATTTTTAATATCCGTGTTGCTTCCCAAATTATTTTTGGACCCACTCCATGACTCTCTAGCTTTTTGTAAAAACATAATACAATTAATCTGAGATTTTACATTACACAGTGTTACTGCATTGATTAGAAGCAGGCTATAGAGTTATAAATACCTGCAACAGTACTTAAAATGCCTGTTTGGTAGTTCCTACTACAATGCATGCCCTAGAACCACATATAAATAACCAAAGGACTCACAACATTAATACAATATCAGCCTGATAACAAAAAATGGCTGATAAGATGTTTAAAAAGTTGTGTAACTTGGAGCTGGAACACAGGATCATAGGAGAGGGGTTCTTTCATCTGCTTGTTGGCTGTTTTCTTGGACCCTTAAATTTAAACGTTAAAAAAAGAGTTACCATGTTTTTGTTGCTGCAGACAGCACAAAGGTTAAAAAAAAGTTTTCTATGTGGTTGAAATGACAAATATTATTATGTTGACTTAAAGTTTAGGCCTACCTTTGTTGTCTTGTCCGTTGACAGACAGAGTACACGAAGATGAGAAATGCCTGAGGACAGAGTGATCATTAACATTGTATT